AACCCTTCCACGGTGTGGTCAACCGGGAAGTGATAACTGCCCTCATACCTCTAACAGCACTCAAGACCACTGTATTCATAATCAATCTCCTTCTTCAATTCCTACTATTCCTTCTACCTTGACTTTCAACACTAAACTTCCTGTTCCGGTTTCCTCCTCAAGTGTCACCATGGCCAACGATTCTAGTGCGCGAAACGCTGTCCCAGGTCTACTAAAACCTCGCTTCAAACTACACATTGGAGCCTTCAACGTACGTACCCTATGCCAAATCGGTCAACAGGCCTCCTTAGCTAAAACCCTAGAATCTCGTACCATTGATGTATGCTGTGTCTCCGAAACACACATACAGGATCCCAGTGTGGTCATTCACTTGACCTCACCTCGTCAAAATGGACAGCCAACGAAATACACCCTCCGTGTATTTGGCGACCCGTTGGCTAGTTCTCGTGGACTTGCAGGTGTAGGCATAGCACTAAGTATAAGGGCAGAACAGACACTACTAGAATGGATCCCCGTTAACAGTCGCCTGTGTGCTGTCCGGCTAAATGGCTCCGTAAGAACTCGGAAGGATAGGGACACACGTCGTTGCCTTTTCGTCGTTTCTGCCTACGCTCCCACTGACTACAGCCATGATGAAGTGAAAGACGACTTTTACAGAAAGCTCTCTGAGCTTCTTCAGAAAGCTAAGCGCTCAGACATAGTAGTCGTAGCGGGTGACTTTAATACCCAGGTAGGCAGCTTGAATCAAACAGAAAGACATTTAGGTGGGTGTTTTAGTATTCCGGCTCAACGAACCGATAATGGTGATCGTCTGTTGCAACTATGCTCAGACAATCGTTTATTTTTAGCAAGCACTAATTTTAAACATAAGGAGAGACATCGTCTAACATGGCGACCACCTGCATCAAACCAACGATGGACTCAAATCGACCATATTGTCATCAGTCATCGTTGGAGAGGCTCAATAGAAGATTGTCGCTCGTATTGGAATACTTGTTTAGACTCTGATCACGCTTTAATACGAGCGCGCATTTGTCTGCGCCTCAATGGACGCAGGAAAAGTACACTAAGAAGACCCATTAGGATTGAACTGGAGGACGAGAAAGCCAAATGCGAATTCCAGAAACAACTGAGTTCACATCTAGGCAGTTCTGTAAACAAGACTGACACATATGCTGCTTGGAAAGACATACGAACAGCTGTGGAAACAGCAGTAACATCTATTAGTCATTTAAACCATAGGGCTCCAAAAAACCAATGGATTTCCTCTAAGTCTATTTCACTGATGGATTCGCGTAAACTCATCCCATCAGGCTCTGAACATGACGAAGAGCGTAAACAAATCAGATCTAGGTTAACTAAAAGTCTAAGGAACGATCGTGAGCAGTGGTGGGCAACGAAAGCAAAAGAGATGGAAAAGGCAGCGGCTGTAGGCAACACCAGGCAACTATTCAGACTAATAAAAGAAACTGGAATTAAGAAAAGTGTAAGTGAGACAATCTCGGAAAAAGACAGAACCCTTATCTGCTCTCAACCCAAACGTTTAGAACGATGGGCGGAACACTTCAAGGAGCAGTTTAGCTGACCTTCAGCTACTGCACAACTACCCACTATTCCTAGAAAACCTGAATGGAACATTGAAGTAGGCCCCCGACCCTACTTGAAGTTCAAAAGGCTATAGGTAATCTGAAACGAGGAAGAGCAGCTGGTCCTGATGGATTGGTTCCAGAGGTCTTTAAATATGGTGGTCCGATTTTAGCGATTAGGTTGACTAATATTCTGGCTAAAATCTGGGAGACGGATGTAATCCCATCCGACTGGTCACAATCACTGATTGTCCCAATATATAAAAAGGGGTCAAAATCATCCTGCGATAATCATAGAGGGATTAGTCTGACCAACGTAGCATCTAAAATACTAGCATTAATAATTATCGGGCGCCTAACTAAGACTCGTGAACTGCAAACACGAGAAAATCAGGCTGGCTTCAGACCTGGTCGTGGCTGTATCGACCACATATTCACCATTCGTCAAGTTTTAGAGCACAGACACGCTTATCGGCGTCCGACAATGATAGTTTTTCTTGACTTGAAAGCAGCATTTGACTCTGTAGACCGAGAGGTTCTGTGGCAGTGTCTGTCATTGAAAAGTTGTACCTGAGAAGTACATGAACCTTGTGAAGGCTCTTTACTCGAACACTACCAGTCGAGTGAGAGCTTATGGCGAACTGTCATATGATTTTACAACCTCAAGTGGTGTCCGACAAGGCTGTCCACTATCCCCATTTTTGTTTAACTTCATTATAGACTTGTTGCTGGAAATAACACTCTCTTCGACTGAATTTACAGGAATTGATCTCCTACCAGGGGGACCACTAAGCGACTTAGAATACGCAGATGACATAGTCCTGTATGGTGAAGACGCTGGCAAAATGCAGAGTCTTCTGTTGGAACTCAGTAATAATGCCAGGATGTTTGGGATGCGTTTCTCCCCATACAAATGTAAATTGTTACTCCAGGACTGGCCTGCGTCAACACCCGAACTAAGGATAGGTAGTGAAGTAGTCGAACGCGTCGACAACTTCACTTATCTTGGAAGTCTGATCAGCCCTAATGGGTTGGTGTCTGACGAAATCTCAGCACGGATTCGAAAAGCTCGTTTGGCTTTTGCCAACTTACGTCACCTATGGCGAAGACGAGATATCCGTCTATCAATTAAGGGACGAGTATACTGCGCATCAGTTCGCTCTGTTCTACTTTACGGCTGTGAAACATGGCCATTAAGAGTAGAAGATACTCGTAGGTTACTAGTATTTGACCACAGATGCCTTAGAAATATTGCTCACATCTGCTGGGATAACCGGGTAAGTAATAGTGACGTTATACACAGGGTATTAGGGAACGATGGTAAATCAGTTGATGAGGTGATGAATCTTCATCAACTGAGATGGTTGGGCCATGTGTTACGTATGCCTGAACACCGATTACCACGACGCTCTATGATGACTAGTATTGGGGATTGTTGGAAGAGAGTTAGGGGCGGCCAAACCAAAACATGGCATCAGTGTTTGAAGTCACTAACTTCTAGTCTGAGCCATGTTGGCAGATGCAGACTACCTGGTTGAGGTCCGCGTGACTATCGTAACCAATGGTTGGAGACTCTAGGTGACATGGCTCAGAATCGATCACAGTGGCGTAGGTGTATACACTCTTTATCTTCCCTTAAACCTTGAGACTAGAATTGTTTCATATCTCTCTTCCTTCCTGTACTATATCCTTATATACAACCTATAACTTATATACTACTACCACCACTAAATTAATTACTTCTCTGAATCCGGTGTTCATCTTGTTGTGCTAACGAGGTATGGCAACTTGGACCGATGCATATATGTGCCTGGTCCTACGTTGTAGCTGACTGACTGACATGGATGAGTCAAACATTCAGTGGTTTCATGGATAGACTCCATATCTTGATTTGTCCACTCCTAGCTTTCTTCTAACTTACTTCTACACCAGCCAACATTATGTGTCACATAATCCATCTGAAATATTATGATATCTCATGATATTCAGTCCAGACCCTTAGATTTATTAGCATGAAGATGGAATCAACTAAGGTTACTTCTTGGAATGATAAAATTATCATTGTGTTTGGTAAATTCCGTCATACTTGAGAGGTTAACAAATTGACTCATCAGTTATATACTTGATAATTAAGACGATTTCTCAACTTGACATGATTATAAGTGTAAGTTCTCCTGTATTCGGTGGATCAAGATTATCAGTTTGCCAGCATTAAGCATACTAGTAATTTTATTGACTAACATAACTGCCACAACACTAATTAGCATTAATTCTGTAATTCAAGAATTACTCAACCATTCATATCACAATATATACTTTAGCGATGGGGTTTCCCACTGTACACAAACACAGAACCTTATCTACCGTACTGATGAGCTCTAATAATGACGAAATCAGTAGGTGTAATTTGCAGAACAAAAAACATCATTACCAAATATTGACCCCTTTCATGAAAAATATGTTGCTGACATCAGTGAAGGCGTTAAGAAACTACAGCAAACCGTGACCGTTATTATAGTAAATTGAAGGAATAAATCGATTGTTCAGTTCACTATTAATACTACAGAACTTCTACGCTTGTTTCGAACGTCAGCAGTGGCAATTTAGAAATTGGTGTCATAGTCGTACATATAAACAAAATTCAAAATCATTAAGTAACCTGGCAAACGTATATGGAAGTAGCCGACGACCATTCCTTATTCTTCAAAATGATACTAATATTCAAAAAGGCTAGTCATTTTTTAATTCACATGACGGGTTAACGTTAGCTAACCGGGAGATATTAAACACTGAGCACGAGCTTTGTTCCAAATTGAAATTTTTTTAACAATGTACATCCACTATCCTGTCAGTAGTCGAACCCAAGATCTTCAGGACTCATAGTAGAAACGTTAAACTCAGAGTAATGACTTAATATCCTATTTCGACTTACATTTCCAACTTCAGTCAATTAGAGGTGGTTCATGATCATCATTTGGTGACATCACTGATAAACATCTCACTTCCATAGTGGCTGAAATTCTGCCTGTTGTTACTTCTTATTATCTACAAGCGTTCAGTAACAACAGACCGCACATTGGCTATATTAACAGCTCTAAAAATTAAATATCAACTCCAATTAGTTTAATTAGTAATAGTTGTTGATATTCTAAATGAAATTCGATCAGTTTTAGTAAGGATATGGGTATCCAGTTCGAACTGCTTTGGTATAACCATTAAAATGCAAGTGAATGTTTTGAAGGCAAATTCAGCTTATGAGTTTCAATTAAGACTAAACGCACGTCTTGGATTCTACTGCTTGCTACCATCTATCTGTCCTATACAAATTTTAAATGATAAAATATAAATTTATACATCCTGTATGTTACAGACCTTACGAATAATTTTGTATGAATAAACTACTATTGAACTTACTAACAAGCAGCTGTTTCCAATACACTAATATAAACACATTTTATTGCATTATAACAATAATTTTCATATTGTCCAGTACAATTCTCATATGGTCGTCCATCGAATTTATTCAAACCAAATGGTATAGCTAGTGTTTCTTCAACAGTTAATGAAATAGCTCTAATATTTAATGATGGTTTGATTGAATGTTGATATATTTCTAAATGATCATCATCGGTTGTTGCTGTTGTTGTTGTTATCGTGGATGTGGATGATGGTGATAATGATGTTGTATTCGTCTGATCCAATAATTCGTCAGTCATAAAATCTATTGAATTCGGTGTAGGTAACAGATTATTCAATGTAATAGGTAGATTAGTTGTAAATTCAATTGTCTCAGTTGGTGATGATGATGATGTTGGTTGTTCAGTGTAAGTAGTAGAAAAAGATGATGCATCAATATTGTTCTCATCTTCTATGAATACTGTACTATTGATTAAATCTTCTACTTGTTTTCTCTCTTTTTCATCATCATTCAAAGTATTTTTCTGATCATTTGATTCATCTATCAAAAGATTTGAAACTTGTTCAGTCATACTGTTAGGTAACTCTTCATCATGATCTTTATGATTAACTTCAATAAGATTATTATCTTCATTATCCACTGAATTATCTGAAAATAGATTTGACTCATTATCTACTAACAAATTTGATTGGTTATCTATTGATACATGTAACTGTTGAATAGGTATAAACGATGATGTCACACTACTACTGACATTATTATTATCATTATCATTAACATTTGTAACAACATTCATTGAATTGCCTTCTGTTATGTCAGTGGGAATAGGTACTGCAACTGTTTGACTTTTTATATGCTTAGATAAAACATCTCCAGTCAATTCTTGACTAAATCTAGCCACATCAATTTTATCAGGATTATCAAATTTAATTGATTTATGTTTACTATCATTATTATTTGTCCAATTTGTCACCGAATGATCATCATCATCATCATCTTGACGATGTCTTATTAAATTTAATTTATTCACTTCATCCGGTAATCGTAAAGCATCATCCTCTGTATCATCATCATCATGTAGAAATAATAAATCTTGCATCTCTGGATTATTCTTTAAAATTTCAATCGTTGAATCATTCCTACTTAATGATGTTGAAAATGCCGATGGTTCTGATATTGATCTTTTCATTCGTTTCAAATGTAAATCTATATTTCTAGGATCTTTATGTTGAATTGGTTCTAAGTGAACTGTATTTCTAAGTAGATGAGCTTTAAGTTGTGTTGTAAATAATTGAATTTTATAAATACATGCATCAGTAAAACAATTATATCTTGAACGAATATCTCTTTCTTCTTTAACTAATTGTAATAAACGTTTTAACCAATCCGATTTGGTACGTATTACATTCATATATTTATTAACTGTACGTTGAACAATCATTTCAATAAATGTATAAGTGGTACTTTGTTCATTTGATTTATCATTATGATTTGATAAAGCTTGGAATAGATTCAATTCATCATGATTAGTTACTATTTTATTATTATTATCATCATAATTTATTTTGTTTAAATTATTTAAATGATCTTTTAAAGTTTCAAGATTATGTTGTTGTTCAATGTGTTCAATGTCAACATGACTGTCAGATGAATGTTCGATTCCTTTTTTCATTCGAACTAATTGAGAATTGAATAATGTAGGTTCTGTTATATCATTGAAGTCGTTGTCAGATTTTGAATGTTTTTCACATTGAACATAAAACATAAAATATACAATTAAGATTATTGTTGTTTGTATAAAACATTTAACATATACCATGTTATTCATTATTTAAACAACATGTAATAGTAATGATAATAATAATAATGTTATGTAATAATAATTAAATGTATCTAAAGGAGATGACATTTTATCCAAGTTAGTTATTTTGTTTCCCAGTAGGTAAATCCGTTTTCTTTTTATTTAATCCTTGTTAGAATATTTCTTATTGTTTATAACATATACCTACCTAATAGATGGAAGTGTTGGTCTCTGTGTTGAACTTAGAATGAAACTAGTTTATAACAGATTACGTGAATGGCATAGATTTTTCTCTTAGAATAACTTGCCTTAAACCCCGCACACTTATATATATATATATTCGGGATTTTGTTGATTGTTTGTCAGGGATGTATAACATGAACATTAAATAAAATAGACTTATTTTTATGTACCCCATGTGTGTTAACATGTATGTCTACATAGATTAACCCCAAAATAATTTACAAATGGTCAATACTCTTCAACACATTATCTAATGTAGGTAGGTGTATGTGCATATGTGTGAAATATATCGCTTCAGCGAACACCTTCATATACGCATATAAAATCTTTTGAATGTGTGAAACCGACCATGTAGGTTTTTGAACTATAAATACACCCAGTATTTGTTGTATGTCTACGTAAAACATGGTATCTAAAATGGGTTCATACATATGTATATCTATCTATATATATACATATTGGAAAATGACATTCATACCAAATAATATGTCTGTTTATTGATAATCAACAGAGTTTGTTTATAATTTGTATTAAACTAACCAAGTCATCTATTCAAATAGATTGGGCAAAAATGTATTCAATGTGTTGAAACCGGCCATCTTGTTTGATGACCTTGGAATAGGATTATTTTTTTGTTTGATTGCACACCAAAGTAAATTAACTAGAATGTAGATAACAGTTCGAAGTTGTACAAACTACTTTTTCTTAATATGAATATTCAAACGGATCAGATGACATTGATATCTGCTCGAATTACGGCTTTTCTATCCTGCTGGTATATTGTAAACATTTGACAATTATGTCATTGATATTCAAAGATTAAATACCATTTTGTCAGGTGATTTAGAGACAGTATACGCCAAATACATCTCCACAATACAGTATTGTAGTATACTTGGTGTCAGTTATCGAACCTATTTTAGTAATCAAAGTAAATAATATCTCTCGTGAATGAATATAAATAATCAACAGTATCATATAAGTAAAGATGGATAGTGGCTAGCAGTGGAATCCACGACGCGCGTTTCGTCCTATTTGGGACTCGTCAGCTGAATGTGCCTGCATCTCAGAGTTGATGTTCACTCTGGGACTCCAACCCAGTAACTTTCGCTTCAAACGCCATCGGGTTATCCACTCGGCCACTGAGTCCTGATAGTCACTTGCTTGTGCAACGGAGTGAAGTTTAAATTCATTTAGTATTGTTTGTTTGAATCTTCCCATTGATGTTTTAGGACTGCAACTGGTCAGCCTCTAATTGGCATATGTACATACTGTGCGTATTGCCTCGATATAGCCTTAATTCATATAAGTTTCCCGTGAATTGGTTAGTTTTTTTTACAGAAAATATATGTAAGATGTTACTATGGGAGATAATAATCATGTGGTTAAGCAACCACTGAAAACTAACAAGCATTGTGGTATGTCCCTAGCTATACGATTATCACGAAATACAATTGCCAATTCAGATACGCTGACTTATACGATCAACAAATGACGCAGTTATCAGTACGAACACCCTAGATTTCCGACTGGTCCTTTTTCCGCCTAGCCCTGCCTGTTAAGTTCAGAATGCCAATCACAGCCTCCGCGATACAAATCATATATTTCAAACATACTTGTTTCAGATACAAGCAAAATCAGATTACATCACACCATAAAATGAAAAATTACCTTTGTACAAGACTAAGCCAACAGTGTGTGTGATTGTGAGAAACTATGACTAATAGATTGAGGATAGTAAATTATATAACAATGATCGATAGGAGGAATGTAAATATGTACAGTTTAAATTCATTCAGTGTTGTTTGTTTTGAATCTTCCCGTCGATTTGTCAGGACTGCAACTGGTCAGTCTCTAATTGGCATATGGGCATACTGTGTGTATTGCCTCGATATAGTCTAAATTCACAAGCATGGTAAGCAAAGGTGGATAGTGGCTAGCATTGGAATTCAGGACGCGCATTTCGTCCTATTTGGGACTCGTCAGCTGGACGTGCCTGCGTCTCAGAGTACCTTTCGTTTCAAACGCCATCGCGTTATCCACTCAGCTACTGAGTTTAATATGTAGATTGATTTATTTACTAGGTTCGAGTCCCAGAGTGAACATCAACTCTGTGATGCAGGTACATTCAGCTGACGAGTCCCAAATAGGACGAAACGCACATCCTGGATACCACTGCTAGCCACTATCCATCTCTGCTTACCATGTACAGTTTAGTTTCTTAACAGTTTTTGAATAAGAATATATGTATAATATTAATTCAAAAATAGTTCTCAGAAGTTAGTTACTTACTTACTTACTTACGCCTGTTACCCCTCGTCGAGGAGCATAGGCCGCTCACCAGCATTCTCCATCCAACTCTGTCCTGAGCCTTCCTTTCCACTTCTTTCCAGTTAACATTCATCCTTTTCATATCGGCTTCTATTTCCCGGCGTAGTGTGTTCTTTGGCCTTCCTCTCTTCCGCTTCCCTTCACCATTCCAAGTTAGGGATTGAGTCGTGATGCACATTGGTGATTTCCTTAATGTATGTCCGATCCACTTCCAACGTCTTTTCCTGATTTCCTCTTCATCTGGAAGCTGGTTTGTCCTCTCCCATAAAACACTGTTGCTGATAGTATCCGGCCAGTGGATGTTGAGTATTTTTCGTAGACAACTATTTATAAATACTTGTACCTTCCTGATGATGGTCGTAGTAGTTCTCCACGTTTCAGCTCCATACAGTAGGACTGTCTGGACGTTCGTATTAAAGATTCTGACCTTGAAATTGGTTGAGAGTTGTTTTGAGTTCTATATGTTCTTCAATTGTAGAAATGCTGCCCTTGCTTTGCCAATCCTCGCCTTTACATCTGCATCCGATCCCCCTTGTTTATCAACGATGCTCCCCAGGTACGTGAATGTTTCCACCTCTTCCAGAGTTTCGCCGTCAAGTGTGATTGGGTTGGTGTTCTCCGTGTTGCATTTGAGAATCTTGCTTTTTCCTTTGTGAATGTGGAGACCTATCGATGCGGAGGCTGCTGCTACATTTGCGGTCTTCATCTGCATTTGGTCGTGTGTATGAGAGAGGAGGGCTAGGTCATCTGCGAAGTCCAAATCCTCTAATTGATTCTGAGAAGTCCATTGTATTCCGTATTTCCCTTCAGATGTCGAATTCTTCATAATCCAGTCAATCACTAGAAGGAAGAGGAATGGGGAGAGTAGACAGCCTTGTCTGACTCCGGTCCTTACTGGAAATGCACCTGTCAGCTGTCCTCCATGCACCACTTTGCACTGTAATCCATCGTATGAGTTTTGGATAATGTTGACGATCTTCTGAGGAACTCCATAGTGTCGAAGAAGTTTCCACAATGTTCTCCTGTCCACGCTGTCAAACGCCTTCTCGTAGTCAATGAAGTTGACGTATAGTGATGAGTTCCACTGAACTGATTGTTCAACGATGATCCGTAGTGTCGCAATCTGGTCTGTGCACGACCGATCCTTACGGAATCCAGCCTGATGATCCCTAAGTTCAGCGTCTACTGCGTCTTTCATCCGATTCAGCAGCACTCTGTTGAAAACTTTTCCTGGTACTGATAACAAACTGATACCTCTGTAGTTCTCACATTGGCTCAGATCTCCTTTCTTTGGTATCTTGATGAGATATCCTTCTTTCCAGTCCGTTGGCACTTGTTCCTCTTCCCAAATCTTTTTGAATAGAAGGTGAAGCATATTTGCAGTTATTTCAATGTCTGACTTCAGTGCTTCTGCTGGTATATTGTCAGGTCCTGCCGCCTTCCCACTTTTGATTTGTCTGATGGCCATCTTGACTTCTTCGATCGTTGGTGGAGTGACATCTATTGGAAGGTCAGTGTGGGCTGCTTCGATGTTCGGTGGATTCAATGGGGCTGGTCTATTCAGCAGTTCCTCGAAGTATTCTGCCCATCTTTTCCTCTGCTCCTGAATCTCAGTGATTGTCTTTCCTTCTTTGTCTTTGACTGGTCTCTCTGGTTTGCTATATCTCCCTGCCAATTTCTTCGTTTTATCATATAGTTGTTTCATATTCCCTTCTCTTGCAGCTTTTTCCGCCGCCGTTGCTAGTTCTCCCATGTATTTCTGCTTGTCGGCTTTAATGCTTTTCTTCACTTCCCTGTTTGCTTCTGCGTAATCTGCTTGTGATTTGACTTTCTCTGCTCGTGTTCGGCTGTTGTTAATTGCTAGTTTCTTGTTCTTCCTTTCTTGAATTTTGTCCAGGGTTCCCATAGAGATATAACACATTGGATATAACACATTGGATAATATGAGAATCCACAGCAGCGATGATCAATGGGTCAGAATCCGAAATTTTATCTGTTTAACACCAGTCAATTCATAATATGGCGTTAGCATCTTCCAACATACTTGATTGGAAACTGTATCACATCCGACATGGTTGAACTCCACTGCTCACAAGCTCTCACTAGAATCCCGGAACCACCTCACAAATTTAGTCACTAGAAAGATGGTGATAAATCACTATAGGGGGTTATTCAGGTTTCTCAAATTTCGCAGTTCATGGCAAGAGTATATGGCTAGAATTCGTATCACGAACTGACATCATCTCCAATGAAAAAACTCTTTGTAGCCAATATGGATGGATGAATTTTCCGCAGAAGTACAATAGGCGAAATTTGGTTAATTCGTCCATAAATTATAATGTCACTATGTTAAAGCGCTTTTTTCAGAAATAAGGGTTTAGTGTTGATTTGTCTGTTTATATACAACCTTCACAGACAGAATCGAGCATTTGATAGGTTTAATATTATTATTTTTACCCTAAGGTGGCAAAAAGTAATTGCTCATCATCATTTTAGATGTTTTACACAGTATACAAGAGTATTTCTTTACTAGAGATAAGTGAAATTTTAAATTTGTTCATACACCTTAAAGTACTCATACGCTGTCATAAGGGGCTTACAAATTACTTCGATAATAACTACCAGGAAACAAATGGAAACACTGTAGTTATCAGTATATGTTTTACCAAGTATCTTCTTTGAAAGAAACGAAGGATGAATATATACATATAATGGAATTCATACATCTTATTTATGATGGATGCAAACAGTAATTGTAATAGTTAAATTCATAGAAAACTCTCATTATTGTAGATGAGTGGGTGAAATCGACTGTTAAAAGTTTTTCTAAAATGCGTTCTCCAGTGATTACAATTTGAATGCATATTATTATTATTATTACTCGTAATAGTAGTAATGGCAGTATTGTTATTATTATTTGTATAGGCTTCATTCAATACCATATTTTTAGTACAATAGAAAATTCTCAACGCAAGATAGTTCAACAAGATTTTTTTTAAAAAGAAAAAAAGACATTGAATGAAACTGATAATGGAGAAGATTTGTAGCTCAGATGGGTGATTTTGATGGAGC